GGACTGCTACTGCCGAGTTACTCACGCACCCGACTCATATTTACCGACAATTCGACCGGGACGCCGCCTTTCCCGTGGGGTACCAACTAACATTTTTGGAGTCAGTCAAACCCCCCGATCCGGGCCTCTACTCAGGTCTATCCTCTTTGGCCGGTTCCATGGAGAATAGAAGGCAGCGTTGCCAACCTGAACATAGGCGATTATGGCGCCAACATAACAAAATTATGGTATTTCAATTCAAATTATGGTATCCACGTTAAAAGTGCCTTTTTCGGAAAATGGAAATGAAACACAAAATCCTATTTTTTCTGTTCTTTGAACACTCTATCAAACAGAAGAAATAACTAGGAGCGGTACTGTCGATGTCTGGAAGGGTAAACTGGGTGAAGAATAAACATAATCGAATACAAGCACACAGTAAAATGTAAATATTTATAGCTCCTGGATTATTCTTGGCTCAAATTCATCTCATTCACCACGTCAACAATGAAAAAGTGGAGGATGTCTATCTGGATGAAGTTGAAGAACCAATAGTTGGGTCTGATTATGATGATGAGGAGGAAAATCTTGATGTTAGTCTGGATGAATAACGCCTAGATGCTAGGGAAAGAGAGATTGATGACGAGATGGACCAATAACTCATCCAAATACAAAATGATTCGGGATTCCGTGATCAGTTGCCAGATGACGAGGGATTTACGGATGATCCATTGGCAGAATAAAGAATTTAAATAAACAAGCATTTTTTGTGGTCTCCTCCCCGAAACAAGAAATTATGGTAAAATTAGGCATACCATAGACCTCTCTATGGTATATGGTATCGGATGTGAAATTATGGTAGCGGTACCAGAGATAATAAGGGAGATTGTTCAGGCTTATGGGAACTGTTCAATCAGAGTTTGATAGCGATGGCGCGCATGAACTAATTGAGAGGCCGGCTCTGTGGGTAAAGAAATTTTCATCTATTACCATGGAAACAGTCGATAACAGGGAAGCGTTCCCAATGTTAAATCCAACATGAAACCTCCTTTGCATTCACTCATCCGCATGATTATCCCATTTTCGTTCATACAATTTCTTATTGTGTTAATTTGTAAATTAGTTGATCATAAAGGAGAGGAAGAGAAGGGATTATGAAGTCTTGAGCGAAAGAGGATCATTTATTTGAATTTCTATATAACTAGATCTTTAATAAAAAAAAAAATACGAGCAATTCATCTTATTCACATTTATTACATATTTTGTCAGTAATACAAAGGTAATGAATGAATTTCGAATTATTTTGATGAGAAATATATTCAATATTTGTGAGAGATTATATCTCAACAACTCTCATACACATAATGGCATTAAATCAATAATAATAGATTAACGAATGAGACTTTTCGCAGATTATTGCAAGATTTAAATGAATGGTTTGCCTTCTTCAGTGACCATAAAAAATGGCTTCCAATCGACAATATCGCCCGATGGAATGGAACGATGTGAATGAATCAATTGATACTTAAGTATCAATTTGAATCTTTAAAAAATTAATCAAGAGTGAAAAAAAATCAGGGAATTTCACTCTGTCAATATGGAGTTATTGACGAGTGAAGTTTATTCACTGTACCTTGACATTTCTCTATTATCTGTATTTACCGAGAAAAAAAACACGTTGTTCCTAGGAATCGATGTGTCTTTTTTAGGCAGCTGCATTTCTGAAAAGCAATGAGCAAGCGATGTTAAAATTACGTCATTTTGTAAAAAATTTCTAGTGACATGATCCTGAAAATCAAAGGAATGTCTTGAAATCAGGAATGGTGTCTGTAGGTTTCAGTAATATTTTCGCGGAAATTCCGGGAACTTATTGGGAATTTTTATAGCGTTGCCGTAATACGGAAATTTCAAGGAATTTCGTCATTGCAAATTAAAAATTTCTATAAATTTCAGTCCAATTATATATGTACGTCCGCGTGAAAAGGGCCCACTTTGTCGCATCTAATTTCCGAGATATTCACGTTTTTCTCTCCTCTCCATTTATCCCGAAGTTAAATTGATTTTTTGATCTTCTATATGGACGTCACACGGAGAAAAATAAATCAGTAAAAGTCTTGCGATCGCAAGGAGTTTCCCGACGATGTCCATTTTTCATGCACGAAGAAAAATGAAGCTTTTTGGAATCTTCGGGAAATTCTATTCTATCCTACTCAAGTAGGAGCGGAGGAATGAATTTTCAAAAGTGCGGACTAACCGGAGGGGCTCCTCCGATAGGGAAATTCATTTCTCCCCCC